CCCTCAAATATTCCTGCGTAAAATGTCAAGTCTTCCCCCCAGCCCCCCCTTTTTCTGCTTAGGAATGTGTTTGCGGCGTTCCTGCCAGTCGAGTGCTTTGGTTGATGTATGTGCAGTTTGGAATTTAAAAAGCTGTTGTTGTCGACATAAGGGGGGATATTTCTGTGCTCACTTAAGACAGGAGATTTATAAGTTTGGTTTTGTGGCATTACAAACACTCACAGAAGCCAGCTGTAACTCCAAATGAGTTTATATTGCTGTAATGTGGAGGGTTGTAAACGTTGATGTGAAAAGGAAGCTGGGAATGGATTTAAAGTTAGAAAGGAAACGTCTATTGTTTCGTTGTTTAATTGTGCCGACGCTCGGATATTAGGAGCACGCTGCTGGTCAATTCTCCGTTAGCAGCAACGCCGCGCGGAGCTGCAGCATGCCAGATTTGAATTTTAAAAGGATTTCCGTCCTTAGTCATTATTTTTAATGAATTTATCCCTCAGAAGACACATCCGATCTGCCTGACACCGGCTTAAGACGAAATTATGAACGATGGCAGTACATACATCATCTCTTTCGCCCCGTTTTAAAGCGGCAATAAGAGCTTAAACACAAGGACCCGTGAAGGACCCCATCACTCACATTTCCAAGACGCTGTGAAACAGAAGTAGCAGGGCCTGTTTTTTTTTGTTTTGTTTGTTTTTTTGTTTTTTTCCTCTGAGGAGTTTTGAAAAACAGGGTTATCACTCCTTTCTCTCACCTGGATAACTTAATCAGTCAAGCTTCTCCCTGATAAATGCTTACTGTAATTCATTCTTTGCCCAGATTCAAACAATTATACAGCAAGAAAAAAAAAAAAAAAACTGGGAGCAGAAAGTAATTTTTTGTGGATTTTCATTAACTGAGTGAAAATTATACATACAGGCTCAGGTATTTGTAAGGAGGTATTTTGTCGTAAGTTGTCTCCTTGTGTTTATCAGCAACAATCCAGTCACGGTTTACAGTCTGCGTCATATCTCATGTTTTAGGTGCATCTCGGCTCCAGCACATCGGATTCATTTGGTCGCATTGCGTCCTTAGCATTCTGTCGATCAGCCGTTTGTCAAAGTCGAGTATTTGACAGCAGGAAAACACCTAAAACACACAGACAGTGATGCCTGAGTTTCAGGCAGAGAAACACACATTTACATGATTCTGCCCACAGTCTACCAACCTTTAGATTGTAACACACTTTTTCCTCCATAAATCACTGTTAATACGATTCTGCCTACCTCAGGCACACACACTTTCGTCCTACCAATCCACAAACCATAACGCACTTGTTTAGAGCTTTGAGGGAGTGAATATATTATTAAAGGCCAACGATTAATGGCTCTGTACCACTGATAAATGTTTGTAAACTTCTCATATATTTCCAGCCTACAGCATCGTTTTCTCTCTTCGGTGCAGTGGACGTTCCGGCATTTACAGAACCGACTTAAAACTCGGACAGACATGCCCAAAACAAAGTCTCACCAAGCATCTTGAGTTCTCAGTCTCAACTCTCCGTTTATCACACTTTGCTCTCTCTGTGTTGTTCTCAGGCGTTTGCTAATTATAAACGCAGGATAATTTATATATATATATATATATATATATATATATATATATATATATAT